GAGAGAGTGAGAGTGTGATAGGGAGAGAGAATTATGATGGCGACAAAAGGGGTTGGTGTTTGCTTTGAATGATTGACACAACAAATAATTGTCCCTCCAACAAGTAGCCGGTCCCCTGTTTGCCCACTTATAACACCACTTAGCTTTATCATATTTACTGATTGCCAGCTGACTCTTAGAGCACGTGGGAGGGGGGATAAAACTTGGATGTTATTGTCCAGGATTTGGAAATAAGCCTTCCTTCGCCCTATTCTGCCCCGGCCCCTTTTATCTCCCTTTGAAATGGGCTATTAGGGGATAGCAAACACGTGACTGGACGTGCAAGGTATCAATCGAACTCTTTATAACTATTTTCTATTGTTTTGACCCGCTAGATGAACACCTATTATATAATTATTTGTATTTTCTTATTTTTAACTGTTGTCATATGTAAAGTATGTTTTGGCCTGGATTTAATTTAAAAGAAAACATTCTAAAGTCTTTTTTTAGGGGGTCTTTAGTTCTATATTGTTGATTTATATAAGCTCAATTTGGCCCATATATGCACTTCTGTACATACGGAATAACCCTTGAGTAGTAGAGGGCACCTAAGGGAACCTGCGAGGCTTCTGTTGGGGTTCCCGGCCCATGAGGAGCTCTTGCAAAGAATGGAAGACTATGACGGCGGGTAGTATCGACGGGTGCCCCCGGGCTCGGTTCGGCAATCTGGCTGCTCTGGGTCTCAAGCGGGGCAGCGAAAGGCGTAGCTCACGTTATCTGAGTTCGACTGTTCGGCTGTTCCTGATTCTGACGCCGGGGGAGAATTGGAACACCTCCACCTTGCCTCAATGTGCGATTCAGGGTTCGAATCGCTAGGAAGAGTCTCTCAAGCCCAGGTGTGAGCGACACTCGGCCTTCGGGGAGTAGCAGAGAACCGAAAGGGAAACTGCGAAAGCCTGAGGAACCGGTCGCCCACCACGAGCGCACTATTTGTGAAGAATGGATACTTGCGATTGAGTTTCCCAATCCGGCCTGCGGGATTGAGTTCCCGCAGACTCGGATTCATCCCCCCGAGGCGACTGGCTGGGATAGGGCCGACTTGTTCGGCTCTTGAACGGTCATCTCGTCTCACCCACCCTGGGAGTCGTAGCCCACTATGTGTGGAGCTGCGGCAACGACGGGTGGTATAGTGTGGTTTGATGCTCGAGACCCCGAACGGCTCACCTCGTGTTCACATCCACGGCCCTTTTCTCAATCCGAGTTCCTTCATTCTATCCTGTGACCCCTCCCAACCCTTGGTTGCAAGGATGTATCCGGGCACAAAATAATGGTGCAGCCCAGAGGGCGTGGCAACCTCTCTGAAGCACAAGCTGTACTCGTGTCGGTCTAGGGTCGGCATGAGCGGCGGGTGCCTTAGCAGAGTCACACGAGGGCCAGTCCACCAGATCCTGTCTGCATAGACGGGGGAGGGTGTAGGGCCATCTGTACCACGGGGTAACTAAACCTTTCAAATTCAGCCCTAGTTACACTGGGAACGGATTCGTGGTGGTACTTAGTGACGCCCCTGGCGGGAACTTAGATAGAGGCTGTCTTCTATCTGTGACCTTCGTGAAGCTTGCGTATGGCCAGCGTTATTACCCCCGGCCTCACGGGAGAGGTTGCGACCGGACGACAGCGACAGCGGAGGACGCGATGATTACGCTGAATAGTCCCTCGATTGCGTGAGTAAGCGAACGGAAACGGGTAGTGAATCGGTTTCTCTGACTCGAGTATGCTTTTCATTGATGTGCGTATGACCGGCGTGGTCTCTATCTCGGGAGTACGCGGAGAACAGGCTGATATATTTCGGCCTGTTAGCCCTTTGCGTGCGGCATACGACCCGATGTACAATGGGGGCCCGACCATTCGGAGTGGACAAGCGGAGAGCGAGGTTGTCTTGGCCCTTTGGGGCTGGGGCGCCTCTACACCAATTCTGCGGCGGTAACAATATTCCGTCGTATGCGGAGGTGCGTCAGCTCTCATCTTGAGAATCAAAACGTCCAATGAGGCCGAATAGGCCAGGTGCGGACGCTAAAGATCCTCTTGTCTTGTATGATTGTCACGCCTGGAACTACACGTCCAAGTCAAACTGGAAGAAATTACAGCGCCCTCTATTTGACTAAATTTTTAATTTCCAAAATATAAGACTATCTTTTCATTGAATTGTACATAGTTGCCTTATTTATATAAATTATTTATTTATTTGTTAAAATTATTTAAATTTATTCACACAGGCGATTTATTTGATCGGTTTATTGGTTTTATATTGATTTTAAAATTTGATTAACTAAATCTGAGTTGGTTATGTAATTTAAATAGTTAATTGTTGTTATATTGGTTTTGTGATATTGCCAAATCGACTTAACTTCTATTGAACCTGATTTAAATTATTTTTATTCCTTTTGCTGTGGTTTACTTATTTTTATTTACGATTTTAAATTAAAATAACTAACTAATAATTACGTCAATGAAATTAAGTCTGGGGTTCAAATAGAAATACATATGCAACGGTTAAAACACTTGTTTAAACTGTAAACCTCTATTCTATTCTGGGATTTTTGAAGTCCTTACTTAACCCCCTCATAATATCAATAATGTATATATATTAAAATAATAAGGTAAATATCAGCAATATATATATATATATCTGACGTAGGGAGGTTACTTCTAAGTGTCGAATGCCTAGTGTGTCGTGTCGGCTTAACATCGCGTTGTCCTTGTTGTATTTTTGTTGAATAATAAAACGTATTTTTGTGTTGCAAGTGATTTCAATTACTGTACACTCCTCCCTCATCCTACAATTGGGGGCCGCTTTACGGTAGCGATAGGTTGGAGTTTTGATATTGTTGAAAACACGTGCTCGTTGTGCCGTGCCGTGACTTTAAATTTTTGAGTGTTTTGTCGAACTGAGAAATGGGAAAAAACAAAACCAATTTCCACCCAATGGGGACTCCTGGAGAGCAGGAAGAAGGAGAAGAAAGGCGAAAAGGTCCGTCACCGGCTGAGCCTAAGGAGGTAGGTGGTTTTAGCGTGTTATTTCGTGACATTGAAGACGCTATTCGCACTTTTTCGTGAGATGAAGAAGACAATTTACAAATATGGGTATCCAACTTCGAAGACATGGTTTCACTATGCGGGTGGAACGATACCCACAAATTTATTTTTTCGAAGAGGAAACTCTCAGGTTCGGCGGCCATGATTGTAAAGTCAGAAAGAGGCCTTTTTTCCTGGGACCTATTAAAAGACTTTGGAACGAGAATTCTCTAAGCCAATCAACAGCGCTGAAATCCATCTCCTATTGTCTAATTCTAAAAAGAATTACAGTATTTTTACAGACTTCGCGAAATCGTGAATCGCGGAAACGTGGACGACCAAGCATTGTTTTCGTACGTTATAAAAGGAATCAAGGACTCCGAATTTTATAAATCAATCCTATATGGTGCTAAGACGGTGAAGGATTTCAAAGAAAAATTATTTATTTACGAACAAATGTTGAAAAATACTATGACGGATTTAAAGAAATTATCTAAAAATGTGACAATGGAAACCACTGATAGACGTTTCATGGCGCCGGGCTGAACAAAACCGACTTTGATGTATGGCGGGCTTCGCTACTATAACTGCGGAGAAGGGGACCACAAGTCCGTGGATTGTCCGCATAAGGAGAAAGGCAGATGACGAGGACGACCCAATCAGCTCGTTACAGCAGCCTAGTCATTCGAGGGCGAATGACATCTCCAGGATGGTCGAGCTGTAGGATCGAAGCTTCCAACCATTAATTTATCCCCCTGCGGGATAACTCAACAAAAGGAACAGCTGACAGAAGGAGGTTACTTCTAAGTGTCGAACAGCTAACAGAGGGAGGTTACTTCTAAGTGTCGAACAGCTGACAGAGGGAGGTTACTTATAAGTGTCGAACAGCTCACAGAGGGAGGTTACTTCTAAGTGTCGAATGCCTAGTGTGTCGTGTTGGCTTAACATCGCGTTGTCCTTGTTGTACTTTTCTTGAATAATACAACGTATTTTTGTGTTGCAAGTGATTTCAATTACTCTACACTCCTCCCTCATCCTACATATATATATATTGCTGATATTATGCCTGTTAATATTCATTTAAGATTTAGCATTCATGGTAAATTTAATTTAGAAGATAAGAAGATCGGTTTAGAAGATACGATTATTCTCCCCCCTGTAATAGCTAATATATAAATACAGTTTAATTTTATCTATCCATTCATATATATAATAAGGTAATTCCTGCCACAATGGAGGGATTAACGCCCAACTACCCTTTGGGTGCCATATAGCCGGGGGTTAGATCAGTTTGCAATATTTTCTTTCCAATTATTTTCAAATGAAATTCCAAGGTCTATGCCGGGATTGAAACCTAGAACCATACATCACTTAATTAGTGAGGATAGCAGATCAGATTTATGGGAACGTCAAAATTCAAATTCTCCATAGGTGAATCTATAAATTGAAAGGAAATAATAATTTCGACCGTAAAAATCTATATTTAATCGTATTAGATCCAAAACCGCCGTTGCAAGATTGTTTCCTACTTTATCGATAATGCAATGTTTGAATGGGCTGTGAATTCGGTTTGAAAGTTGGGAAGGGACCGCCAAGCCTCGCTCATTTTCGACTGCGGCCGAGCAGGAGGTTTACAGTTGATTATTGTGGGAGGGGGGAGGAAAGCGTCCAGCACGAGTCCGATGAGTCCATGCGCCGATGCCGGTGGTGCGCACCATTGAGCCCGTCCCCCTATTCATTTCAAGACAACTTTCCCTACCCTCCCGCCCTCGCCCTTTTTCAAACGGCTTCAAACAAATCGAGGGAGAAACCTCTCTCCGCCATCGTCCTCATTATCTTATCCATTTAGCCTCATAACAGAACGTTTCAATTTTTTCCTTCTCTTATTTTATTGAAATTTGTTTTTAACTTCTACAACTAGCCATTAGACTTTTTTCTCTTCTTTCTAGAAATGGAGGTGTTGGGAGAAACACATTACCTCTAATGTAATGTAATGTTTAGTGAGGAAAGGCTGCGGGCCCATTATAGCGGGTTGGGACTTCAACATCTAACAAGTCAGTACAATTTAAATATTTTGAAATATTTAATATTTTTCCAGTTTTCCTGTGTTAAATGATTTTTTACGAGAAAACTACCTGCAACTTGCGAACGTCACGTTGATTGATGAAATATGTGAAAACCTTCGAAGTTGGAAAATGTCCATTGAGCACTACTTCCAGTGATGCAAGACCATGAATGGGTGGTCAAACAGTTTTCAGTTTCGATAAAGCCAACCAGTCCATCTTCAAATAAATGCGAATGTTTTGTAGACATTACTTCAGACTGCATTTTAAAATTTATTTTCGAGAGTACTTGCCCCCATCAACCACTCCTTGAAAAAGCAAAACGTGTTCTTCCATTTGGCACAACTTACCTATGCAGATCCGGATTTTTCATGAATACAGCCACCAAACTAAATGCCTAAGCTGTCTAGATGCTGACCCGACATTCGTCTCCCACTGCAAAAATTAAACCCAATCCAAATTGTACAAACTTAAAACAGTTTTACTCTTCATTACTCATTACTCATTTACTCATTACTTCATTAATCATTCATGTTCAAATTATTACTTTTGATTTTGGTTTTACCTACCTATTGATTCCGTTGTATCCAATTTGATTTTTGTGTTCATGATTTTGTAAATAAAGTGACGTATGTCATTCTAATGTATGTTTTCAGTCTGACATCACCTAATTAGGAATGAACTGGCTGATTTATAAAATTTTAATTTACTACATACTATAAGTATCTCATTTTAAATATTTAAATGAGAGAGATATGCCTTGCATTTTGTTTTGTGTTTAATGAATTCAACCGTCCCTTTTACAGTTCTTACCTTTTTAGCCGTATTTTTTTTTACAGATGTGTCTAGACATTTTGAGATTATATTCTGATTGTATTTTATTTGTGTATATGTCAGGGGATGTAGCAAGTTCTCAACAAGCTTTAACATTTATCAATTATGACCAAAAATTGAACATATTTTAACCAACCTGTCTAAAAGCCGAAGAGTAAATCAACACAATTTAATTTTACAATTGAGATTGTAATTGGGTTGTTCTTTATCTTTCTTCCAATACGTTATTGAAAATAATTAAATGTTAAATCAGCAGAAACATTTATTCATATTTCATGGAGGAAAAAATAACTTTTAGGGGTACCTTATTAATATTATATAAAACAAATATATTTTTCTTATATATTTCTATATTTTCCTTTATTGGAAAACATGTTTCAGTGTTCTAGTAGCTAAGAGTTCATTGATATTTTATGATTTCCTTGCTTCGATTTTGTTTTCACCACTGATTCCCCTTACTAATTACAAATACTTGAAAAGATAATCATCAATTAATTTTTTGTCTCAATAAAGGAGGAAGTTATGAAGGAAATCATAGGGATTTGACGAGCCGGCGTTCATTTCCGTTTGCCTTGCTTTAATTATCTCTGATGTATTTACACTATCGTGGGATTGGAAAAATCAATGAAACATTTTTCAGTCGTAGATAAAAAAATGTTTGACAGTATTCCATTGTTTGTTTAAATAATTTAAAAAAAATAATTTTCTTCTTTTGTTGTGCACGTATTTCAAGGTTAACATATATCATTTGATTTTGTTTTATTTTATGCTGTTTTATGTAGGAACAATTAAATAATTTGCAGGATCGTGTTAAATAAGATTTGATAAGTATAGATGAGTAAAGTAGACCAATAAAATTCGTTTTGTAGAAAACAATTCGGATTCGTTTTAAGAACCTTTTAAAGCCCTCAAATACCAATTTTCATCGTAATGAAAAATATGCGTTTTTGGTTGGATTCGCCACGGGCAATTTTTTCCTCACTCAAGGTCCAAGCATTACATAAAAACTCATTCTATTTCAGAAAGGTAAATGTTTCTTCTTTCATGCTATGTCAATAAGATTTTAATTTTATGTAATTATAAGTGAGAAACACGTGGATAAAATCAACAAAACCACCCCAAACGTTTTATTTTCTATCTATTATGGTTCCGATTTATTTAGGGAGACCATTTTTTTGCCATTTCGTGTAGTTTATAAAGTTCTTAAGCTTTATAGTTTTCTTTGGATCGGTGAAAATTGGTGGTAAATCTTTTGTGTATTTCGAAAATACCTAGGCATTTGGAAGGCGTAAATTTTGAGAAAAACAACAAAACTTTATTTTTAGACACACTTATAATGAAATAACCAGGTGGCACATTAATCAATTCTCAATAAAAAATAGTCAACAACTACAACTCAACACTAACACCATTTACTATCACTAAATAACACTACATCAATTATATCAAACACAGACGAACTAACATACATTTCCATGTCATACATTCACGGTCTATCACACAAATTAACCACATTTCTCTTTTCTGGTAACTTTAAAACAACCTTCACAAACTAAAAAACTATTCACACCCTTCTTTTCCAAAATTAAATATCTTACACCAGTAAGAAATAAGTCTGATGTAATTTATAAAATCAATTGTAAATTTGTTCGGCAGCATATATTGGAATTACACCCCAATAATTAAATAAAGTTAAAAGGGTAAAACACATCTATGATTGCAAAAAACCCAAACAAAATCCTGCAATACTGGTTATACACCATTTTAAACACCAACTCAATTTCGATTTCAACAACCCAAAAATATTAAACGCAAAATAAAACAATCATAAACGCAATATTTTAGAAATGGTCTATATCAACAGAGATAAACACAGCATCAATTACAGAACAGACACATGCAAACTCAGTCGCAGCTACGGTAATACCATAAATCAAATTTTATGTCAATAACATACATATAACGCACAAAACATATAATACAACATAAAAAAACAATCATTACACTCCACACATCAAACAATTCTACATAGTCTAAATCTTCAACAATTCATCTCTCTTTTCCGTACTAATCCCGTCTATTAATCCTGAATGGCTTACCAGGTCTGAACGACAAACCGTTACCTATTTTCATTATCGGTCCATTTCACATCAAAAAAGCCGACTTCTCATAGAAAAACCAATTTCTATCCCTACTTCCTTCTCCACTCCTTGAACATTACAATCTCACTAACACTCTCAACATGACACATAATATAGACACAACTAACTACACAGCAAACACACACTTTGGATACAAATACTTTGATTTAACTTAAAACTTTCTCTAATTTGTACATCATTTTATAAATTTATATTCATATGCTATATGTATTTTTGTAATTTAAACATTGTTTATAAATCCTAGGCCGTGAAGATGATCTCAATAAAGATCGAAACGTTGGCACGATAAAGAAAATGTTTTTCTAACCTACATCACACTAGACCGCATCTCACGATCTTTAAATAACCATCCCTAACCATCCCTAAATATTACTCATTTGAGAAAAACATTTTTTTTATTGGCCCAAAAATTTGTATATGCCAAGTTTAGGCCATTCCGAGTAGTTTATTGGGCTTTAAATTTCTAGAAAAGTTCCTTAGAATTTGGTGGAGATGTTTAAAAGTCCCCCCCCCTAAAAAAATAAAAAAAATAAAAAATAATAATAATAATCGAGAGCAGATAGGAAAGATTATTTTGAGGAAGGAAAAATTTTCTTTTTTGATTTACCCCAAAATTTGAATTCAGAGGATTTTTGGGGTGATAAAATCGAATATAAAATTTAAAAAATCATATTTCAACGATTAAATTAGAAATTTTTCAAATATATACGAATTTTCTCGACCACTGATTGATTTTATCGTCTATTAAATAAGTAGGTTTGCTTCCAAACTACCGGAGTAGTTCAAAAATAATTTCAAAAATAATTTTTTTGCGGGTTTCTTTACTGATAGCGTCTTTTGCTTTTTTTTAAGCTTGAAACGGTGAAACATCGAAAAATTAATCTACTAATATATAATAACTGTAATATACATGCACAACGAAGGGAGAAAACATTTTAAAAACATTTCTTTTGGTCTTTGGGAACGAACCGTCGGACATGTGTCTAATATTTTTTGATGTAGTAGTAATACCCAAAAAAAGGATCATTAAAATCTGAGATCCTACCTCCTTAGCCAAGTCAGTAATGTTTTTAATCATGTAAAAAATTAATTAATCTATCAGATTGAAAGTGAAGATTTCATGGAAAATAATAGTCATTTTGGCTTTTAATTTTAATTCACGTTAATGTATTCAAATAGTGGGTTTTCTACATAAAAATGGATTCGTCGTATTTATCAGGAATCTTCATATGAAAACCCTTTAAGTTCAAATTTAGTCCACAATTCAATGTTTTCCAGTTTTTGAATATCGCTGCGAGTCCAAAAAAAGGACGCTGATTTTTCGCCTTGAGCTGATTGAGAAGGAAGCCCGACTTTTAGTTAGCCGATCAATCAGCCCGTCTTGCACTCATGAACCTTCGTAATATATATCGCAGTTTTTGCTCGGTTAAACTGTCACATTATGAATTTTATGAAAGAATTGACCTCCCTCCCACTGTTTCTAATTGCATAACTCATATGATTAATCCATTATCTAATTGTTCTAGTTACATCCTACTACAGGGAGTTTTACAACCAATCCCATGTAGAGGGTAAGTGTGCATAAATAAACATTAACCTATATGATTAATTGTTGTATATAAATACTAACATCTGACGACCCGAGCACCATCAACTTACATCTGTAGCACCGTCGAACCAGTAGACTACAAAACCGATTGACTCCTCAGTTCAACCGGAAAGTGTACGTCTAGAGAAATTCTGCGGTAATACGCGTAAAAAACCGATTCAGTCTATTTCTTGATGAAGTTTAAAATGACATTTAAAAACTTAATACCAGGTAACCAGAAAAGTTCATGCAGATTTGAAAGGATTAATAATAAGTGTCACAATTATAATTATTTTAGAAATATTTTTGTTTTGTTACAACAGTCTCTATACCATTCTCCCAACGAGTTACTAGTTTACGCCTTTCGTAAAAAAGGCCGCGGGTCTTGAAAAATGAATTCATCTCATTTTCCAGCTGTTGGCGCTTATCGATCTCTCGATTGCGCGTACGATTGTCCATTTCTAAGAAAAGGTGAAAGTCAGATGGGTCTCAGATCTGGAGGGTGTGATAGGACCAACCAAGCTTCATTATCACAACGTTTGTCGTTCTGGCTGTATGACTCGCCTTGCTTTGGTGAAAAATTAAACCTTGTTTCACGAGAGCAGGTTGTTCCTGGGCCAGGGCAAGAGATACTCGTTGCAATTGACTTGAGTAGATTTCTGGAAGATTCTGCAATGCCTGTCTGCAACAAAACACAAAACTTCACTTTTTGTTGGTGAATATTTAATTTTCGCGTAAATAGGACAGTGTCATTTGCTGACAGCCAATAGTATAACCTGTTGTTACTGTCTATTCTAGGATCTATTTTTCTTCGCATGGGACAATCTAGTAAAGAACATATCTATATACCGTGAAATCAATGAAATGTTTGGTAGAAGCTTGTTACCGTTGGGCAATTTCTGAGGCACCCACTTGCTTAACGTCCACGTCCTCCCAGGTCGATGTAAGTCGGGGCGAATGGTTTCATTGTCTACGTTGAACACTCTGGGAAGCTTATGAAGTGTTTGACTAGTATCAAGTTCGATAGCTTCCCTCAATTCATCGTCATTCAAGACAGGTCTTCCAGACTTAGGTTCTTCTGTAATCCCCCTCATTCTCAGAAGCAAAATTTTGAACAACTTCATTACCGAACGCAGTGCAAATTTGAGGAGCTTCTTCGGTCGCCCTTATGCCGAGCTGAAACATACAAAAAGTACTCACGAATTATGGGTTTGGAAGCAAAGATAATTTTCTGAGCAAACAACAACAACAAACAAATGAAAAACGACTCGAACTTCTTTGGTTACCTCTTATTTAAAAGATGAGATGGTAGCTGGCCCTGCGCGCGTTTTTCTTTCACATTACTTCTTTTCCTAATCTTTTTTCAACAATAACAGCTTGCTCAATGTAAATAATCCAATTGAAACCTCCTTTCATGTTCCAACGTATATATACACAAAATCTCTTATTTCCTTCTTGCATTGTATGTGTAACTTGAAACATAGCGTGATTGAAATAGTTTCTTTCGTAATCCCGATAATTAATCCCTTTGCGAATGTGAAAGCGGGCTAATTATTATCAATTTAAACGGGAATTCCAATTAAATGATGGATAAAAGGGCAAAATTAAATCTAATGACATCTCCGAATTTTTTTCACACCAGGATTCGCACTTCAGGTTAAGTACCCGGTCCCCTTTCGTATTAAATCAAGATTAAAGCCCCCCCAACGCCCCGACATCAGCTCATAAGTGCCAAGGAAATTACATTGCCCTTCTAATAACCTGATTCAATTTCTTTTGAAGGGCTTCAGTTTTAATTTCTGGGTTTAGTCTCGACACGTAATTCTGTTTCAAATGGCTCATTTGTAGTAAATTGTTGGATTTTTAATACATTTTAATTTCCGTGTTGAATTGAATTGTTCTTTTTGTTACAATAAATGCGCAAAAATGAATAGGGAATATGTAATGTATTCTTATTATATCAATTGTAATTAAATTAACCGATATATTCTTGTTAGTTGGATAAAGCAAAATAGAAAATACAAACCAAAACAAAAAAATTGTTAATCATTATTTTTAATAACGGGTTTACTTAGGAATAGTAAACGTGAAGATTACTCATTTTGTAAACAAACATCTTTCCTCGTCTTTTCTCCATTTTAATCCAGTTGTATTGTCTTTTACCATGGAAAGACATCATCTTGAACCAGAAGTTCGCAATATTTTTTTAAGAATACGTCATCGAGGTCACCGGCATGTGGATATCGCAGAGGCAGTTGGCGTTTCTCACAACGTGGTCTCTGAGAGACTGGAAGTGGAAATAGGAGGCCTTGTATTGGATCTGAGCGCATTACGACGCTGGAGGACAGAAATATTTTCAGTAATGTCGTGTAGTGTTAATTGGTTTTTGAAAATCTGATTCGATTGGAAGTCACTAACTTCTTGTTGTTGATGTATTTTTGCACCAGTATTCGATAAGCTCAAGGTATTCTTCGTTGTTGGAGATCGCTTGGATAGAATATTGGTTAGAAGAGATACGATGTCTTCCGCATTGGTTTCACGGTGTTGGTATGTATACGAAAGTCCGGAATGAAAATGGTATACAGTATGGGACCAAGAACGCTCCCTTGTAGGACGCATATAGTCTGTGATAAGCTCAAGGTGTTCTTGCATGTTGGAGGTTGGTTGGATAGAATTCGGACCAGAAGAGAGAATTTCAGTGATATTCCTAGGTGGTAATGGTGGTGTTGGTATTTTCACCGAAATGGTAAACAGGATGGGACCAAAAATGCTCTCTTGTGGGATATAACCAGGGCACCCAAGCAATTAATCTTTGTTCTGCCGATGAAATAGACTGAAATAGAAATGATTCTGAAAGCTTATTGGATGGAGGTACAACAGGGACGGAAACCGAAATTGTGAGAAGGATAGATTTTATATGAATCTATGGTATGTTAGGTTTTAAAAGGAGTCTTTTGAGCATTTTTGGCATCGCAAGAAAAAGAATGATTGGTCGTTAGGAGGAATATATTGGTTGATATTTAATCTAGGAGATGTTTGATCTGAATCAAATGAGTGGAAAATTGTGTTGAGATTAGATTTTTTCGATCGGAAGGTCAGGTGGAAACGACTTGACCTACAAGTTGGAGAGGACGAGAAATCTCATACGAAAATGGACAAATGCTTGGAATTAAAAACAGGAGTGTAAGAGGGCCCGGATCAAAGACTAGTAGAAAGACACGAGGATGCCTTTGAGTGCCGGCTTTCGATTCTTTGCATATTGACTCTATCAACTGAAACAAAATGAAATATATATTGATCTCTATTAATATCCCTCAGATTGGAGATGGGATCACAGAAGATTTTTGTCGTCTGTCCGGCCGGAATGGAAAACATGCTGTCGTGTAAGTGGTGTTCACGTCATAAATCACGCATTCCGTAATTCGTGTTAACGCGGGTGGAAACAGCATCTTTGAAGGTTGTCGACAATCGGTATTAATCAAATGGTTGGTGTTGTCCCCGGCTTTTTTTTACTCTTGTTTTTTTACTCGTTCGGACCATAGAGAAGGATTATAATTAGAAAAATATGTGCTCTGATCTTGATAATTCCATGGTGATCAATTACAATGTTGACAGCTGCAAATGTCCTCATCCTTTTCCTTACAAGCCGTTTAGCCTTCGACTCTCTCGGACCGATTTTCAATCCGCTCAATCACACCTTTAATCTCCTGAGTTTGTGTTTGTGGCCCGACTTCCATGCCCTGAACCAAAATGACCCATATAAGCCGATGTACATTGTATATTCATTTATTTTTACCATTTCATTTGGAAGCTGTCATTTTCGTTTTATGGTCTCAATATAACCCGGCGAATTTTAGTCATAAATTAAAAAAATGTCTGGTTTATGTGAAATGTATGTTTTGTTTTTTTGAAAAGAATATTAAATACGTGCCTATAGCTACTCTTAGTCAAATTAAATCAAAAAACTTTATTTAGGACCAAAAACACAAACAGTTTACACAGGGCTCCAGCCTAAGAATAAGGTTATACCTTTTTATAATCTTGGTGGTCTGTAATTTCAATTACTTCATACATTTTATTATAAATTTTGGCCTTTGAGCAGAGCCTAGAATGCAAGTGTAATGTGGTGTTTGTGTAGAGCGAATTTATTCTTCTATCTACTGCTTCAGTCATGATATGTAATAAGAGTTTTAAATGGTCGCAGGCCTTATTTATCGCTTCAACTCACTTAAGTAATTGAACTGTTTAAAGGCAATGAACATCCCAAGAATCACTCTCACTGATCGCTTTTTGAAGTAAAAAACTTTATGAAGCAGATGCACATCACTTGTTGATGAATCCAATGTCATATTTGACGTGTTAGCAGTTGATGTGACCGACGTTCAATTGGTTCAATTTTTCAAGTCCAAAACACCGAGCAGCTTACGCGCTAGACCTACGTGACAGTCAAAGCGATGTTCTTTGTGCTCGTGTTATCCCCAATTTCCGCCGGAAACATTAAACGAAGAGGGAATTTTATACCAGGGTTTTTTTGTGTCTTGCTGGAGATTTAGAATGATTTAAGTCAAATGTATTAACAAGGCACGGGCTCGTTCTATACAACATTTCAGCAGTTGCTCTCGAAATCCGTGTCAGTAGAGTCATCGGCATGAAGGGATCGAGAGCACTACGGTAGGAAGGCAGATCGTTAACATAGAGCAGAAACAAAAGTGGGCCTAGTACGACTCACCCATGAGACATGCTCGTATTGTCGTTTTTCATGGGAGCCGAGCAAACATTACCAACTTAAATGTGCACTATTGAGTTCCCTGTCAATTTGAGCGGAACAACGAGAACTTGACCTCTTACGCCATACAGAAACAATTTACTGATAAGAATATGACGAACCCGGTCAATAGTATTATATAAATCCAGTTCCAACTGAATAATACCTCTCATCCAAGGCAGATTGATCGATAAATTAGTCAAGACAATGAATGCGGTTTCTATTACCTACCTTAAAAAAAGGCATTGGGCTCTGGAATTTTAGGCAGTTTTTCTAACGAGAATATTTAAATTTAAGAATTGTATACATAATAGAATTAATTAAGGTTTTTAGTTGAGATAAAAATTCAATGGCACGAGATGGATTCGAACCCACGATCTTCGGCTTGATGCGGTTGAGATGGGAAGTTGGTGTCCGAGTGTATCGAGGTCACGATAGCTCAAGTGGTAGAGCAGCGGCGTATCAAGCCGAAGATCGTGTGTTCGAATCCCGCTCGTGCCATTGACTTTTTTATCTCAACTAAAAATGTTAATTAATTGTAATATATTAATTGGTCAAGCGGACCACGAAATTAGTGAATTTAATGTATACATAATGAAACAAGCCTTAGTTTGTTGCTACGTTTTAAAGAATTTGAATAATACTTCGTCCAACCGATATTGTATTCGAAATATTTAAAAACAAACAAATAAAAATTCTATACAGGCAGAACCCCAATCGAGAAACTTTTTCAAGGGTTCCAGGACTTTCAGATGATCAATTTATTATACTACGTCCTTGTTTATAAAGTGCCAATAATAAAAGTAAGCCCGTTAAAGACAAGAAAGATATCCATGTAACAACACAAGGTTGACTGTTACCAAGACGATTAATCTTTGAGCCAGTAACAGTTTAGAATAGATTTTGACATAAAGCTAAAACAAAATATTGTCCCTAATAAAGCCGGCAATGATTAACAAAACAGCGATGATAGATGGATTTTTATGTCGGCAATTTAAAATGACCAATTGAGAGAAAACAATGGAAGAATCAAACCGCACAAAGGATAGCACTGAAACTATGACTAGCATTGCACAGAGTGTAGACAGGGCGTGAGAAGTAGGGATGAATCGAGAGCTTGGTGGAAGCCGGATCGGATCAGTTCGTTGATAAAAGGAATGTTGAGGTTGTGGATAGTGAGGCTAGTGCCTAGAGACAGCTCATTGAAATAATATGAAATCTAAGAGGTTTTGAACGGTTAAGGCATTTAATAAGTTAATGGAGTTCAAAAAATTGTCTCAGCTTTGATGTGAAGGATATTTGGACGGAGAAAAATTCAAAATTTGACTGACGTAAAACGAAACGAACATTCTTTTATTTTTATAGGAATTCTGCAAAGCCTTAAAAGCACAGGGATATATCTCGGCAGAGATCTGAAAATCGCTAACAACAGCTCGAGCATCATCCTTCAAACATTAGAGAGGGTACTGGAATTTTTTCGGAAGAGTGAACGCTTCATTATTATGCTCTACAGATTCCTGCACTTCATCAACCTCAAGCCCGTATGAAATATCTGGAAGTTTCGAGTTAAACGCGATTATATCGTCTTTAACTTTGTTTATGTCAGCTTCCAAATCCAAATCAAGTTTCTCATTTAGAGGAAAAATTAGGTGCTGTTTCGGCATTTATATTTTTGAAACCGTCTTGAGAACGTCTTAGACGTGTTGACGAATTTTCACGCTTAGATTTTAAATAATTAAAGTTCGCCGCAGACTATTTTTCCGACAATGAAAATGGAGACTCAACCGTACTAATCTTTTTTTTCGGCATGTTTGTAAGCAGTAGCAGAGTGGAGAAAGGAAATGGGAAGACAATAGAAAGTAAGGATTGCACGCAGCGTACTGGTTAAAATGGTGTGTCATACTTGATCCTTTAATATGAATTTTTCTGAAGTAATTGTAATTAACTCCGTACAGTTAGCCAAGAAATAAATCAGCAGTTGATTTTAAATATATGAAGTAACAATTCCATGGAAAGGTTTTATTATGAGGAATTTGACAAATTTACTTAAAACATTTATTTATAAGGCTAGAATGAGTTACACCAATTAGAAACAATCGTTTTTAATTTTGAAGAGAAACGTTTAAAAGGGAACGGATGAATTGGGAGCCGTACGAGATAGGAAGGCAAGCGATAGCGTTAAGCGGATTATCACCTGAATGCGAGTAACAACTTGTCTTTATCATTGGAAACAATTTTAACGATTTTCACAATAATTTTTATTTTATTTCATAATTGAGAATCCACCATTTTTAAGGAGGACCATTTTTAATCGTTTAATAACGATTCGAAAGATGTTTGAAGAAGAAGAGATTTAAAGAAGGAATTTAAATTAAGAAAAATTAAAACGGGCTAGGTTTAACTTAAATAGGCAAATGAAACCATTAAAGTTCAGCCCGAGAAAACTTAATAAATTAAAAATTAATACAGTTTAGAATGAAAAGAGGAGAAATCACTTGAAAGAGGTATTTTGCAATAGGTGATCGGAAAGAGTGTGGAAGGAAGTGTTTTTCAATTAAAGGGATTATCCCTACGAGCGGAATAACAAAACTAAATTTTACAACTGGCGTGAACCGTAGGTTAGATAATTTGTCTGAAGACTTTTGATTGGAAGAATTGGATTCGCTCGATATTGGATGGATTGGCGCAACACCAAAATTTCACTTCGTGTGTCCAACATGGTCGCCAGAAATGTCTTCCCTAGGTGACTTTTCTAAGTATCTGACTCGGGTGGAAGTACGTAGCTCCTTGTTGTTGATGTACAGTAGAAGACATTCAGTCTCGTTGTCATTATTCTCCAGTTTTTGCAACAGTCTTTGATAACTCGACGTGGTCGCTTGAATAGTCACGATGGTTTTAACCGGAGTACTATTCAAGCGCAAAAAATAAATAAACAAAAATTGCGCAGTTTGTAGAGAAGTAAGAAAAGAATTATAAACCAGTTTGACAAAATCGAGTAATGAGACATCTCTCGAGCCGTTCGGTTTTTCTTCTGGTTGGTGACCTGAATGAAACTCGGCTAAGTTCACTAATGAAGTACATTTGGCTACAACTGGTCGGCTTGGCTGGAAATTGACCGATTCGCTGATGTAGAAAGCACTCGCCCTTGTGGAAACCTATTAAGGGCCAATCACGGTTTCGCCACGGCCCATTTAACGGGAATAATTATAGTATCTGGGCCGGCCCGACAAACGGCTAGATCTTGGCATTCCCAATCAGGATAATTTGACCTTTGTAAACTGATTCCACCCATGATTGCGCTATGCCGCACCAACATAGTTCCTTCTGTATGAAAATAGACGGAATGCGTATTTGATTATCGTTTTACAACAAAAGTTGGATTTGTCTATTTGAAATAAATGCCCAAGCGGGGTTTAATAAGATTTGTACAAAATTTTTGGTCTGTTTTGGATCCATGTACAAAACCTACTTAATAGACAGGAAATATTATCCCAGGCTAAAAAGTAAGAAATTATGACGGACCTATAAAAAAAGTCGTGATACAAAAGTGAGAAAATAAACTAATATCAAAAGGTTTTCTGGTTAATACGTAATATGATAAACGTATGTAGCATATTTTTGATAATTGTTCTGGGTTTTATTGAACCGTTGATCTAGTTTCGATACGAAGCGTGTCTATTCTTTTTGTGGGCTTCTTACAGCACAAAAACAGCACGAATATATCAACCAGAACGATGAGTTACGTTCAAACTCTTGATGAACAATTTATGAAACTCGAATTTAAGACCTATAGTCGGGATGGTGAGAATGACTGACGATGTCCCCAATGACCGATCATATCGTCTCAACATGTAGTATTCGTTTTAAAGTACACGTTAATTAAACTACCTACATAATTAGAGAAAAACGATCTGGACGTAAAGGGAATGGAGGAAGAATGGAGTCAAGGAACCACAGGAATCGAAACAAAAAATATTCCCGACTGTAAAATCTGTGATGCATCGCATGACACGATTCATTACAGGGCACAGGCACTTTAAGGCGTATGAAAATTTATCTTGCGGATAACCCTTCATGCATTTGTCGTCGAGGAAACCTTAAGATAACAGAATATAATGAAAACAGAAACTGAGGTCATAGGAGTATGGCCAATTCAGCACTACCAACTACAAATTAATTTTAATCCAGATTATACATAACGGTGTGTTGCATAATGCGAGTAGATGATTAAATTACGACAAACATATTAATTAAAAAATATGTTCATTTGAACACTAGACTAATCGGAGAAAGCGGTTAATGCATTGGAGAAGATTTGTCGTGAAGTTCCTTATCTATCAGTCATCTTTACGTTCCAATCCACCGTAATCGACGGATCGATAAATATTCCATTCTTTTCCTCTACGGATTTATGGAAAAACGCCGACTCGGATGGATGAAGGCCACTTTTGCACCGTTGGCTTCGTCGGTGTTTTGCTCGAGAGGCCCATAATGGAAATGCGGCTTAGCCTGCTATGTAGAATGAGTACGGGCGGAAGGATAGATGGATAGAGCGAGGGAGAAAGAGATTATCCGTTTCATCTAAGTACTAGGAATCCTGGCCCTACTAGATAAGCCATAATGCGGGACAACCGTAAGCTGATTAGATCTGTCTGCCCTCTTCCCTTTCGACTACTTACCTTCGGCTCACACTGATTTTCATTACTTTCTTTCTTGTTGATATATTTCGACAAAAGATGTCGAACTTTACGCTTTCTTGGCCCAGGCAAAGCCTTCACCAATATACAACTACCAGTTATATCGCAAAGGTCTCTTTATATTCTGGTTTTGTTTTTTATCTGGTTAATATCAGCACAACTCTACAAATGCATGGCGGTCATAATAAACAAATCCATTTCTTTGTTTTTATCCAAAGACATATGGCTTTATAGCAAATCAGTTTGCCTAAGTTGGTTTTGGAAAAGAACAACAGGCAAAGGTTGAGATTTTTTGTTAATATTACAACAATTAAAATATAGTGGTTAATTGCTTAATGCGCTGAAATATTTCTGAATCTAGTCTGGCTTATATTTTATATGTGTTTCTGTTACAGAGGAGGAGATGGCTCAGAGCTCGTTGTTCGGCTGTTCAACTGCTGGGCATTCAGGAATAAACCAATTGGGCGGTGTTTACGTTAACGGCCGCCCTTTGCCTGATTCGACCAGGCAAAAGATCGTCGAACTGGCTCACTCCGGTGCACGACCGTGCGACATCTCCAGGATCCTGCAGGTCTCGAACGGATGCGTTTCCAAGATCCTCGGGAGGTGAGTAGCAAGAGGCGAAACGTCACCAACGGCAGATTTCTGACGTGTGCCCCTTGTTGTGTTTCTTTCTGTCCAGGTACTACGAAACTGGCTCAATAAAACCGAGGGCGATCGGTGGGTCGAAGCCTCGAGTAGCGACAAACGGAGTTGTTACAAAGATAGCCGATTACAAGCGGGAGTGCCCTTCTATATTTGCATGGGAAATCAGGGACAAACTACTTTCGGAAGGCATCTGCACTAACGACAACATCCCGAGCGTAAGTCTAGTTTTTACCCGTACTTTTCTTTGTTTTCTGAATCGTTCTACTACTCGTTCTACTCATAATGAAAAGCTAAAACACAAACAAACGATTATTGCCTTAAGTTGCAGAGTTGCCTCCTCTCTCCACTTTTGTAAACAGGAGTTTGCCAGCTTTTTTTTTTAATTTTCAAAACGGTTTTCACTTTTGAACAGTGTTCTTCACACCAACATTCATAATATTTTTTAGTTCATCACACGGCCACCCTGGTGGTTGTAACTGCTGGACAGATCCAAAACGAAAATATTTTATTTCATTCCGCAATTTATCGAGGCCCAACAATTATAATTATTGTTATTATAGCATAATTTACTTTAAAAACTACATTCGTTACAGAACAGAACAAACACTGTTATTTACAAATATATATTGTACAGTAAATAATGTGGTTTATAGGAGTTCCTTTAATGACACATACCTCCAGCTGGTTAGGCTACAAATAAATTATTATTAATTATGTTACATTATTTTTCATCATGAAAATATCATAGCCTCTCTTCACTATGGCCCACACATTTAGGCCACTGTGTAAAGGGGGGATGGCTTGTAGAGGCCTATAATGGCCATGGTTGGAAATGTTGGGGAACATTGGCTTTTAGGAACGGTCTCACTGAACATGTCAAAAAGGCCAACATGCGCGAACAATGTGCGCAGTAGATAGGTGACGTGTCCACGCACTGGGCTGACATTGGTCGGTCATAATTTATTCTTTCCAACCAGGTTTCTGTCAGTAGCTCGACCTCGATATCCATCACGGCACAAGAAAAGTAAGCAACTATAGGAGAAACTATAGTATCCTTATGCTATAGCATTGAGGATATGCTGGCCGAATCTTAAGCCAAGGGTGAGACCATCTATTGGCCCAGTGTGTGGAGCCAAGCCAGCGCGGCATTGCGCCCATCGCATTGTACAGTTCCGATATGCGTGTATAACGGGGTGAGTCGACGCAATCCTAAGCAACTTGTCTCGCGACATTAGTCCTGCTTGAGAGATTTCCGGAGGGGCACACATATAGCATGACCACCACCATTAGTAGTTTATCGGCAGGCAACAGACTTGTCTGACGACAGATCATAGTGACCTTCCGTTAAGGGTGTACTTATTTTTTGTAGATTTTCGGGCTGCATTTGACAGTATAGATAGGAGAGCACTATTCTATAAATTATCTACCTACGGGCGTTCTACAAAAATTATTAACATCCTCGAAAGTTATTATGCAGGATCAGACGCCCGAATCTGGACAAAAGTTCTGACGATTGACTTTGCCTTCGAAATGGGAGTCAAACAAGGTTGCTTACTCAGTCCTGTCCTGTTCGCAATTTTCCTTAACGACCTGGAGGACGAACTATGCGGAGGGATAATAATTAACGGACGAAAAATAAGGACACTAATGTATGTAGTGTTGCTGGCTTCTACACCTGCATCTTTGCACCTCATGAGAAGGGATTTACTAGGAGAGTATTGCAACAAGTGGAACTTTAAATTGAATTGGCAAAAATCCCAAATTATGGTCAGTCGGCAGGGAGGCGGAAGACATAAGAAAAATGAAATATGGTTCTTCAAAAGTGAAAGAGTGGACTGCGTAAACTGCTACAAATACCTTGGTATCAATTTCACTAAGTCTTTGAAGATGAAGCATCACTGCAGAGAGAAGGCTAGCACCGCTAAGTACGCCGTTAATAGTTTGTGGCGCAAAATAATGACTAACAAGAAGATCTCACTAGAGAAAAAGATGGTGATATTCAACAACACCCTGAGGTCTGTAGTATGTTATGGTGCGCAGGTCTGGGGTTACTTATACTTGAAGGAAATAGAAAAGGTCCAGAAATACTTCATCAAGAAACTGCTCTGTCTGCCAATTAGCACCCCAGACTATATCTTATATATTGACTGCTCGGTCACGCCGCTCGACAGTCACACTTGGAGCCTGCATTTGAAATATAAGGAAAGTCGGCTCAGTTTTTGGCCGACGTGGTAATAAATAAAGGCATATTACGGCATAAGCAGTTGTCAGAGTTAGGTAGGCTGTACGGTGTAGGAGTAAGTAGGGAGGAACTGAAGTCCTCTAATACCACTGACCTGATTAAAAAGTGGGGGGCAAGCAAAAGGAAAGACCTGGTAACCCGTGCGAGAAACAGCTTACATCACAACTTGTACGCAAGACTGGATTTTGACTTAGGGCAAACTACATGGAGTGCTCTAATATGACAGCCTATGAGGTGTAAGTTATACAACATAGATATATGAATATTTCTATAAGTTAACTCGTGTTTACGAACCAGAAGTTATATATGCAAAAGAGGCACCCTCTATTGGCTCTCAGGACATTCAGGAGTAAAGAAAAAAGGAAAAGCAAAAGAACTCTTCCTAATAAGAAAAGTAAACAAGGAAACAACGAGAAACAGGAAATTAATAATCTCCTTAAGAGTCAATTGATTTCTTGATAAGGTTCTGCGATTAGGATTGACACCAACCAACAGGGTGTAGTTTCAACATAGAAGCTACCAACCACATGTCGGGTTTGATACTTAACCGCATGTGAAAGTGCTTTCGAAAATTTCACCTGTGTACAATATGTCTTTAAGAACAAAATGGATGAGAAATCCATTACTTACTTCATGTGAAAGGCGCGACAGCTTCACCGGCTGATATAGAGGATATTAAAGCTATGATCCAGCCGTGGGTATACCTGTCGGTATGATTTCAAGTACAAATTCAACGTTGTGTTCTCGTAAAGCCGTTAGACAGTTTAGGAAAACTAGTCTGAAGCGAACAGCAAACGCATTTAGTTCCTTTACAGTTTGACTGTCCAAAAATATGTGGATATTTTTTTCTTTATCAACTCCTGTGCGTAGAGCCTGATCCATCAGTACCATATCCCAGCTAAGAGTTCCCTTTATTTAAAAGATCTCTGTTATCTATAACAATGAAGTTGAGTTTTCCTTTCATTTTGTTCTATTGTACCCAACTCATTGATTTTTATTCTCTTTAGAATTTTGTTATGGTCTCTCTGCTTATGTCCGGTTTAGAGGGTGATATTCCATCATGACAATGCTTGAACTCTTGTTTCTTCACGGACTGGAGCTACTGAGCTTTGGATGGGAGCTACCTCATCGACATTATTCTACTCCCTCCAAATGTTTTAGAAGAGAAATCCTATGATACAGACGAAGACAACAATAAAAGTGTTAAAAAGGAAAAGGTTTATGGTGGAATGAAGTTTTCAGAAGATAGAAACCAGAAAGCCGTTTGATATTTACTGTAAGTTGGAGTTGATTATCTGATTGATTACCTTTTTTATTTTATTTACGATTGTAGTTAACTGTCACATTGAATAATTCGGAAAACAATCGCCGATTGATGTCATCGTGAGAGCTAGCGTTATTGTCGACACTTATTATCCCCCTTTGTACCCAACTTTGTTTAAACCCAGATAATCTGTGAAAATCCAAACAATATAAAAACAATTCTATAATAATTGTTTGTGTGTATTCAGAAAACCCGTCGCTGCTCTTTTTATTTTTATTTTGTGTGATGTTATTTAATATCAAGTCGACTGAACAAAAGGGCGGTATTGTTTTCTGACAAAAACCGTGATGTTTTGCAGATTCAATCGTCTTCACAAGCAATTAAATTCGAAAACAGTCCGTGTCAGGGGGAAAAAGATGAGAAAAATTATGAAGCTTTCCATACCTAATTTTCAAGTCCATGTACATCAAAAGGATGAGATCAAAAGGAATTATAAATCTAATTTGGTGGGTAATAATTGAACGTTTTCTCATAATAAGTGGTTTCGAGGAAATCATAATAATGGGATAGTCATCATGGGATAAATCACTAGGGGTTTAAGTGGGAGCCGGCCCAAAAACCTGCGGGGGGGTTGAGCGACCCTCTGGGGACAATATTATATGAGCCGAATTATTACCAAAGCCCTCAACTCGTCCCCTTTTCTACTATTTCCACGCCATATCATCACCCGGCGACAGACGACTTTGTCAATTAGCGATCAAGGCCCGGTGGCAAAAACGGACAAAAAGACAAAAGAGACTAAACGTAAGGTTTTACAAAAATGATCTAATATAAATTGTTATGGATCCACATGGATAGGGGTAGTAAATTTACTCTCATAGACAGTATGTGAAAAGGAACTTTTCTTCTAAAAAGTGTATAGAATTATACGGAATCCCTGGCGCAAGTCAGGAACACCAATGACCTGACTCTGGCATCGGTCCCTCGGCATTAGGGACAGAGAGGCAAGAGAGGAGGGCCTAAAAACGAGCCAATATGAATTCTGTAGGGCCAAACCCTATTGTGGTCTAGCACCTTGCCACGAAAAAGGATCCTTAATGAATCCAAAACCTGTTGGAATAATACCTGAAGCATGAGGGACGCGAAGAGGTTCATAGAAGGGCCATCCACAAGATTTACAAAGGAATTACTGAAGGGCAACTGCAACAGAACCAGGATTCCGGTTGGCCTCCTGACGGTGCACTGCCGCCTAAGAAAGTACATGCACCGGATAGGTGTACTGACAGAAGAAACACTCTGCAGCTACTGTTCGGAAGAGGAGGAGACCGCAGAACAAGTTTTGTATTTGGTAGGTAGGTTGGTTTTAAAACTATGAAGGAGTATCTACACTAATAATGCCCTAATACTCCTTTCCTCGGAGAAGTATTTATAAAAGAAGGGTTAGTTCTTGTTTCTCTCTTGTGTTCTTTCTATGTAGTTATAATTAGTGTAGAGGTAGATTCCAATCCCCTTGCGTCTGACACCAGGTTCAACTTCTGAATATCAAATCCTTCCTTTCTACTATATAACAGCCCCCTATTGACAATAAAATAGTATAATCGTAACATATATGGTCGATTAGGATTGTTTCTAATAACAAAATAGTGCTCTCGTTTGCCTTAGACCATATTTGATAGTTTGTCATTATTGATCTTTTTCCAATTGTTTAC